GAGGAGTCTGGTGGGCTACATTCCATGGGGTCACAAAGAGTCAGACACGACTGAGAAACTGAACTGAACTTTAAATTTGCTTAGAACCTTTCACTGGCTTCTCCTGCCCCCGAGATAAAAGGCCAAAATGTGAAACCTGGTTCCACAATCTTTGTCCACCTGTACAACCTAAGTACCTTCCAGCTCCTCCTCACTGCATATTCTGGCCGTACTAGACCATGCATTTTCTCAAATATGTCACGTTTGCAGAACCTCTACTCTCTACTCTGCCTGATTCATCCTTAAATATCACTTCCTTGAAGCAAATTGATATCCACTGTCCCCATCAAGAACAAGTTTAAAACCCTCAAAGCACTACACTGTATTTTTTTAGAAACCTTATCACAATATAATTATTAGTTAATTTCAATTATCCCACTAGACTATAAATTCTGTTTAAGACATTTCTGTCTTGTTCACCACTATACCCCCAATACCTAGCAGTCTCTATACCACAGAAATTCAGACATTAGCCAAACCAAATTCTATTATTGACTTGATTTTACCACATTGAATTTTAAAGCTGCCCGCATTACAGAAACATATTTATCCAGAGCTCAAACTGTGAGCCAGGCAACTTCACTAAGATACAGAAAAATTACACAAGTGGGACCATCAAGACACTTTGTGACCTCTTTCTTTCTGGTAGTTATACTGTACTGACATTATTCAAGTCTGAACGGGCTAGCTATCAAAATAAGTAACATCCAATGTGTTACCAGAGTCAATTTCTCACGCAGTTCTACTTGACCAGAGTCTGGTCCACTCTGAGGCTGGGGTGACTACTAAGTAGCTCTATGGTAGATGTATCTGAGGTAGATACATAAAACACATTTATGGAAGTCCTCAAATTTATTTGGTCCTATCTGCCTCTTCCCTGGTCACTGCCCCTGCCTCCTTCTGCTCGAGTCTCCCTGGGGGTGAGTCAGGCTTGGGCACATGCTGTGTGAACTGGTGCTGACCTGACCCTAAGCACAGGACCTTTGGCTCCTCTGGGGTCACAGAAGAAAGGCTGGGCTGTGGGCATGACATCAGCTCTCCACAACCCCAAAATGCAGAAGATAGGAAGAAAGGGAAAAGTTATTCCTCCTTCACTTTTGTTCCCCAAATTCTACATTACTGGTTGCACAGCAATCTCTCTCCAGATCTAGGACATAACTTCAATATTAGGACATTTTCCTCCCTCTCCTCTTGCATATTTTTCCTCCATTCATCAACCTCTTCATACTGTTTTTTACCTGACATTCTCTGATCTTTCCTGAGAACCTTTCTTTGATTGTGATATAAATACCCTCACATATTTTCTTTTCTCTCCTTTAAGGGAATTACAGTAGTTTCAACTAGTGATCCCAACAAGAAGGAACAAAAATGTATCACACATCATGCAGATCACTAATTACCAGGAGAGGACCCAAGAGGGTTCTATTTCTTGAATAACCTGTAGCCTTTCCATTGATAAAGTACATCTCAAAGTGTTTCTGCTATAAAAATTTCCCCATACAGTGCCACAGAAAACTTTTCAAAATCTACCTACCAATTCTGCCCTCTTTTAAATCTCTTTTCACTGTTTTTGAGCACAGGTTTAATTTCTGTACTCTGAAGCTTACAGCCAGAAGCTAACAACTGCTCTGCTCTATGTGTAGTATCTATCCTTCACATCTTAGATTAGCATTTTCCCAATATTAGGTGCAAAGACTCAACTAAATAAAGATAAAAGCTCCACTTGAATCCAACTTCTCAATCTTTCCTGTGTTTTCCTATATATCTCTAAACTTGCTAAGAAAATGAAAGTTGACATTCAGAAAAAGCAAACTGAAATAAATTAAAACTAAATATTTGAAATAAAGTATTGCATTTACTAAATTCATCTTATATTCTAATTATGAATTTTTAAAGTAGTTTTATGGCTCTCTTTAAAGTAAATTCACTTTGATTTCTCTTCTGTGGCCTACGGCTTTTCATTTACAGGTTAATGGCCACGATAAATACAAGACTTTCTAATTCTGCACTAGAGCATTTTGGGGAACTTTTTTGACCTAAAGAGACAGTATTGAGCAATCTATCATTTCCTTCTTTTGGCCACACCATGCTGCATGGGGGATCTTAGTTCCCCAACCAGGGATCAAATCCATGTTCCTGGCACGGGGAGCGTAAAGTCTTAACCACTGGACTGCCAGGGAAGTCCCTAGCAATCTAATGTTTCAGGTTTACTTTCTGATGAATACAAGCACTTAAAATTCTTCCTGCTGGTTTCTTTATTCTGGGAAAACATCTCATACTCCTTTCACATCTTTTCTGAAGGGTACAACTCCCTAGCTACTCAGCACTGGCCCAAGAAACTTTCAAGCTAATGACAGACCTACTTGTCAATTAAAGACAGTTTCAAATAATAGGACAAGAATGTCTAGGATTCAGAAACTTCAATTTTCTCATCTGAATAAATTTCTCCAAGGTTTCTTTCAGCTCTGATATTCAAAGACACTTAAGAGAATATTCTACCAAAATAACAGAGTTGCTTTGCAAAATCGAAAAGATATATTTGCTTTAAAGTGAATATCTGCAGTTCAACAAATACTAAATTCAGAACAAAAGTGCACCTTTACACATAAACCAGAGTTTGTATCAGTAATTTAATACTTACCTAAAAGGATCATAGGAATCCATATCAACACGAAATCCATTTATATACAGACCAGCATCGCCTGGCTGAATATCAAATTTATCTTGAAGATGCTGGGAATAGAGAAAATAATTAACCAAGTGATATAACAATAGTTGATCTATGTCAGGAGTTGGCAAACTATTTCTATTGAGTTGGATAGTAAATATTTTTAGGCTTTGCCAACTACTCAACTCCATGCTGCAGCACAAAAGCACCAAAGGCAATTAACAAATGAGCATGATTATGTTCCAATAAAACTTTTATGCATTAAGACAGGCAGCAGGCCATATTTGGCCTTTACGTGGGTAGTACTGCCCACACTTGATGGGAATCTTGTAAAAGGTTAGAGAGACAATACTTGAGCATTTTGATTTTGTAATATGTGATATTAATTTCCTAATGCTGCAACTACTACTTACCTATTACATTTTATACTGTATGTGCATGTGCACACAAACACTTAGCATTTGACAGCTGGCACATTCCTATTCTTTGATAGACCAGAACTCAAAACTTTGGTGTATGTGTAAATATTTAGCAACCACTCTAAATTCCTAAGTTTCCATGAAAGAAGTGTTTCAATGTTCACTTTTAGTTAACTAAAACTTCACTTACTTTTCTTCATTTTATTGATGTAAATATTGATGTAAAAATTCAAGTATCTTATGCTTTCAAATGTTATCAAGAATTTTTACAATTTTGATGTATTTTATTTTTTCTTCTACTTAAGAGTAAACAGGTTTTAACCCTCAAGTGAATAAACTTTTTCTGACTTTTTTATTGATTTCTAGTTTGTACTGAGACTGAGAATTTTTTCCTATTTGTTCCACTTCCTGGAAATTTTGCAATTATTACTTTCACTTGGTCTTCTATATCTTTACTTACTTTTTGACCATTTCATTAGTCTTAGAGAGGTAAATTATAATTCTCCTTCCATTTCCTGTAGTTTGTTTCATGATGGTGCTGCAGTGTTTTGATGTAAAGATATTTTAAACTGCTCTATTTTCATTATGAATTGTATCCTTTAGTATTATAAAGGGCCATTTTTGGATCATTAATATTTTTAGATCTGAATTTGGCTTCATGGCATTTTAAGATCATACCCTTAGAACATAGTATTTGCTTGATATACCTTTGCACATCCTTTCATCTTTGACATTTCTGAATCATGTTAAGGGTTTTTATTTCACATACAAACATTAGGTGTGTTTGTTTCATACCTAATGAAACAAACAGAAAATTTTTGCTCATATGTTAAGCTTATTTACATTTGTTGATATCCTAGGCTTGGTTAGCCTCAAATGGGATTCTTTCATGCTGTTTACTCTTTCAAGATTTAAAGTTCTTTTAAAGTTCTCTTTTTTATTTTCTTGTTCACTCAGCTCTCTTCATGCTTTGGAAGATTTAGACTTTTCTCTACTAGTTACTGTCAAACATGTGTATTTATTTAATACCCTCCATCATCTTTTTAACCAATAGCTAGAAAGAGATGGGAATACCAGGCCACCTGACCTGCCCCTTGAGAAACGTGTATGCAGGTCAGGAAGCAACAGTTAGAACTGGACATAGAACAACAGACTGGTTCCAAACAGGAAATGGAGTACGTCAAGGCGGTATATTGTCATCCTGCTTATTTAACTTTTATGCAGAGTACATCATGAGAAACACTGGACTGGAAGAAGTACAAGCTGGAATCAAGACTGCCGGGAGAAATACCAATAACCTCAGATGTGCAGATGACACCACCCTTATGGCAGAAAGTGAAGAGGAACTAAAAAGCCTCTTGATGAGAGTGAAAGAGGAGAGTGAAAAAGTTGGCTTAAAGCTCAACATACAGAAAACCAAGATCATGGCATCTGGTCCCATCACTTCATGGGAAATAGATGGGGAAACAGTGGAAACAGTGTCAGACTTTATTTTTTTGGGCTCCAAAATCACTTCAGATGGTGATTGCAGCCATGAAATTAAAAGACACTTACTCCTTGGAAGGAAAGTTATGACCAACCTAGATAGCACATTAAAAAGCAGAGATGTTACTTTGCCAACAAGGGTCCATAGCCTGGTCAAGGCTATGGTTTTTCCAGTGGTCATGTATGGATGTGAGAGTTGGACTGTGAAGAGAGCTGAGCACTGAAAAACTGATGCTTTTGAACTGTGGTGTTGGAGAAGACTCTTGAGAGTCCCTTGGACTGCAAGGAGATCCAACCAGTCCATCCTGAAGGAGATCAGTCCTGGGTGTTCATTGGAAGGACTGATGCTGAAGCTGAAACTCCAATACTTTGGCCACCTCATGCAAAGAGCTGACTCATTGGAAAAGACCCTGATGATGGGAGCGATTGGAGGCAGGAGGAGAAGGGGACGACAGAGGATGAGATGGCTGGATGGCATCACCAACTCGATAGACCTGAGTTTCAGTAAACTATCTACTATGTCTTCTACTGTGCTTTCTATAAGGTCAGTCCTCCTTTGTGCCACTTATCATTTTAGTTTTTACTTCAGAAACAGTTTTATCTTTACTTTGCATACCTTCACAAAGTTCTTCCAGTTCTAGTTTCACATTCCCTTGTTGTTGCTCATCAAACCCATTACTTTAAGCGTTTAAGTTTACCAACACAATGTAAACTGTTGTGTTACAAACTCTACCCAATCCCAACTCCCCAACTTGAAAGACCCAACTTAAACCACTTGAACAAAGACCTTCTCTAACCTAAATATTCTACCCTAACATCCTCCTTTTGAGACACTAACAAGAGTCTATCAAGGTTGCTCTCCCTCACTGCAGCCAGTCTATTAAATTCAGCTTTGCTTGTTCCAACAGTTACCCTGGTGAGTTCTTATTATTGAAGAGCTGACAGTCTATATCAGCCTCTCCCTTCCCACTTGGTTTTATTTAAATACATTTCTTTAGCCCATTGTATGTTTTCCTTCTGGAAATGGGAAATACTAAAGAATTTTTTAGAAGAAAAGTGACTAGGTCAAATTCTTAATTTCCTCAAGTATCTTTCCATTCACCTAACAAGGTGACTGGCAATTGAAAAATCCAGAATTCTTATTAAATTGTGCTGAAATGAGCTGTAAACCAGGGCATTAATTCTGGTTCCATCTTGTATCAACCCTGTAATCCAGAAGAAATCACTGGATTTCAGTTTATACATTAGGATATTAACAACAGCTACAATATATAAAACATCTTAAAAACTACATACTGGTAAATACAGACTGTTTTATAAAGTGAAGTCGCTCAGTTGTGTCCGACTCTTTGTGACCCCATGAACTGTAGCCTACCAGGCTCTTCCATCCATGGGATTTTCCAGGTAATACTGGAGTGGGTTACCATTTCCTTTTCCAGGAGATCTTCCCTGACCCAGGGATTGCACCCAGGTCTCTCGCATTGTACGCAGACGCTTTACCACCTGAGCTACCAGGGAAGTCGTTATAGGTAATCTAAATATTCAAAAGTTTTCAGTTCAACAAATATCTCTGGTGGAATGCTCCATGCCAGATACTATGGTCATTCAAACCTCTAGGTTCAGAGTTTTCTGATTTACTCATTTCTCCTAACTTTCATTTCCATTCTACTTCAGCAGCTAGCTTTGGCTGTCATCCTGTGATTATGTCATCAAAAGTGGTCTATCTTTGGAACCATCCCATTTGAAAGTGAAAGCTGCCTAGCCTGCCAGGCTCCTCTAAAAATGGAATTCTCCAGGCAAGAATACTGGAATGAGTAGCCATGCCCTCCTCCAGGGGGTCTCCCCAACCCAGGGATGGAACCCGGATCTCCCGCACTGCAGGCGGGTTCTTTACCATCAGAGCCACCAGGGAAGCCCAAGAACCCCATTTGGTCTTTCCAATCGTCTCCTTTACTCCCACAACATCACCTCTTAAACCTCATGAAACTCTTCAGCCTCTGAATCACAATCACACAGAGCAAAGCTTTGATGACCAGGAACACCCATTTTGGACTCTTAAATGAACAAAAAATAAATTGGATTATGTGATGCCACTGATATACTGGCATTCTTTCTTTTCCCTTCTTTCCCAATCTCTCTTCCTTATTGTAAGTGGCATTATTCAAACAAAAACAAAAATTCTTATAAAAAATGCATTTTGCTTGAAGAATGGTGAGAGCAACTAGGAAAATTACAGAAAGGAGTAATACTTAGTTTTAAAGGATAAGCAAGAATTTGTTAAGTGGTTAGTGAAGCAAAGAACTTCCCAGGTAGGGATGATGTGTTGTGGCTTCTATCACTTGGTCTCCAATGAACCGTGCATCTACTTCATTATCATCATTGTAGTCATTTGTCATTGTTAAAACAGCCTGTATTTACTAAGAGTTTACTCTGTCTTGGTGTGACAGACGCTGTTAACTGGCTAACCTATCATCATCTCTAGGTCATTTCTCCTCTGATTGCCTCAGTTACTAGAAAAGTAAAAGATGCTTGCTCCTTGAAAGAAAAGCTATGACCAACCTAGACAACATATTAAAAAGCAGAGACATTACTTTGCTAACAAATGCCCATCTAGTCAAAGCTATGATTTTTCCAGTAGTCATGTATGGATGTGAGAGTTGGATTATAAAGAAAGCTGAGAGCCTAAGAACTGATGCTTTTGAACTCTGGTGTTGGAGAAGACTCTTGAAAGTCGCTTGGACTGCAAGGAGATCCAACCAGTCCATCCTAAAGGAAATCAGTCCTGAATATTCATTGGAAGGACTGATGCTGAAGCTGAAACTCCAATACTTTGGCCACCTGATGTGAAGAACTGACTCATTGGAAAAAATCCTGATGCTGGGAAAGACCGAAGGCGGGAGGAGAAGGGGACGACAGAGGATGAGATGGCTGGATGGCATCACTGACTCAATGGACATGAATTTGATTAATCTCCGGGAGTAGGTGATGGGCAGGGAAGCCTGGTGTGCTGCAGTTCATGGGGTCGCAAAGAGTCAGACGCAACTAAATGGAACGGAATTTTTCTAGTTCCCTCATAGCTAGGAAGAAACACATTACAAAATTTTGGCCAATGAGATACAAGTCAAAGTTGGCTAAAGTGTTCTAGGAAGGTTTTAGTCAAGATGAACATGGTTGATCTTCCTACCTTTTTCTGCTTTAAATATAGATAAGCAGTCTGGAACTATAGCAGCCATTTTGCAACCACAAAAGAAAAAAAAACATTTCTGTGGCAACCTACTTTGAGACTTCTTTTAAATGTGTGAAAAATGAACTCCTACTGTTTAAGGCCCTGTGTGACTGGCATTATATTACTTAAAGCCAAATTAAGTCCTATGTAATAAAGCCAGGCAGTGTTCTCAAGCACTCCCTAAGTATTTACACAATTAGGATCATTTAGAGTTTTGAGGTAGGTAATTTAAGAGACCACTTAGCAGAATCTTATCAAATTTGTGATCAACTGTGTACTATATGCTATAGGATTCTAGTAACATTCCAGTGGTTTAAATTTTTCTGTCTTCACTAGCTTTTAAGCAAAACTTTTTATAGGAAACAGAAGAATTATCTCATAGCCTTTATTCTCTATCTTGTGAAGAAAACCATATAGCATGGGCAGAAAATTTGGAGTGTGTAAGGTTAATGAGAAAGTAAGTAGGATCTATGTCAGGAAAGATTGGCTAGAATAACAAACTGTATGCCATATAAAGCAGACAATATAAAAATGGAACAACCTAAACTGTTTTAATAATAAAAAAGTACAAGCTAATATTTTTTGTATGAAAATTAAAGATACAAAGTCTAAAATACTGTATTATTAGTGTAGTAAATTTCTTTAAAAAAGGAATTCAAACTAACCTTTTGATTTTCCTGTATTTCCTCCCTCATAAGCTGATTTACAGCAATTCTGGTCAGAGATCTGGGAACATAAATAGAGATACAATTCATTCTTCCTTAAATGTTTAGGACTAAACTATGATTCAATGCAAGATAATACTCTGGATGAGAAACTAAAAACCCTAAAGGCATTATAACTGAGAAGCACACATTTCCATACAGCCTATTTGATGGATGGCACAATGGCTTTCACTTGACAAGGTATTTGATTCATGTGGAACAGAGACGGTAGAAAAGTTCATGCACACCCACTGCATGCATTATGTGCTATCAGAGCTTGTTTACTACTAGGTATTTATTTTTCAAGTATTCTTGATTGAAAAGTTATTTTGTCTTGTTTTGCGTCTAGGGAGAAATTCTGTATGAAATTACCACTATCATTGTATGTGTTGCTGCAAATAAGAAATTTTTAGAATATTTTTACATAAAGAATTTTGGTTAACCTGGGATCTATACCAGAGTATATATGTTCTAAAATACTGATAATATTGACTTTATGTATTTACTCTTAAAGAGCTTATAACTCCCTTATAATTTAAAAACATCACAAATGTTTTTTAAATGTCTATTGATTACATTTATTTGACCTAATAATGCCTAAGAATGCTTATTTATCTGCCAATTTTATGCATAGAAGAAAGATTTAAAAGTTAAAAGACTGTTAATTCAAAGTAGACATTAAGTAAAACTCAAACAGAAAGGGTATCTTAAAACAACCCATAATAAGTGTGTTTTATTTCCTAAAATTTGGCAGCATTTGAGATAAAACTGCAACTGAAAATTTGATAATGCAAACTTTTTCATTCATTTATCAAGTATTTTATTTCAATGAACATTTCCTGGTTGTCTACAGAGTGACTTTTTTTAAAGAAAAATAAAAACCTCTTATTAAGTCTGAACATAAATAGAGGCAAGATTTTTAGCCTTGGGCATTAATTATGGTTGCGCCATTGATGGGGTCTGGAGGAAACCAATCTGTTTCATCCTCAGACTGAGGAAGCATCCACAAGTTCACAGAGTAATGAATTATTGTAGTAACTGGAGAGATGTGATCAAGAGTTCTATTTTGCAGCATGTAACAATATGCATGCACAAGACAATATTTTCCTCTAGTTTAAAAAAAACCCAATATACAGAATGGAGACCCTCATTTCATAAACTATAGATACCAGAATTAACTGACATCATTAAGTTGAATGAAATCAGCCATTTTCATAAAATTTATTTAATGGAAAGAGTTCTGGCTATCATCCAATCAATAACCTTTAATATACCTGGCTTTTATGGGGAAGTTCTGCGAAATGTCTTTCATTAATTTTATGGCATCATAAACTGGAGTGGACATTATTTGAGATGCTGCTTGAAAACTAAGATCTGGAAGGAAAAAAATATCATTAAAGAAACTGATATGTTAGACCTTAATAGACATTTCCATGTACTTTAAATAACCCTTCCTGCCTTGTATTCATATATAGACACATTAAAAAACACTCATACTTACCATTATTCAGAACTTAAAAAAAAAATGGAAAGCTACCACTTCTATCCAGTTAAGTTTTATACTTACCTTTACTGATAAAATCTGAGACAGTGTAAATAACAAGTAAATGAATATAATATTATTAGAGTCCATTACCAGCTTTTGCTTTTTTCTAAACTGTTCCATACCTAGATGACTCAAATTGTTATTTAAGTCTTTCACTTTGCCTCTCAAATCCAGATTCTCATATTTAACTTGGTTTTACCACTTGGATACTTCAAAATCAGCATGTTCAGTAACAGATTTGTAATATTCCTGCCCAACTTTGCCCAAATCTGGTCCTCTTTGGTCTTCTCTTTACAACAAATCCACCACTGTCCATCCAGCTGGGTAAACCATGAATCCAGCAGTTGTTCCTGGTGTCTCTTCTCCCTCACACTCCATTTCCAACACTCACAAAGGTCTGTGATACTCTCCCTAAATAACCCACCCTCGAGTTTATTCCAACCCTTCCCTCAGACCTCTATTCAATCACTCCTTCTTGAGGAAGGCTCCTTTTTCTGTTACCCCTTCTCTGCCCCTATCTCACCACTCAGATCTTCCTGACATATGCTTTTCTTAATCTTTTGTTCCTTTATTCTGCAGCAATTGTGATAGTGATTTTTACACTGGTTTTTCAAATTGTTTATGTTTATCCAACATCCTTTGAAGAAACATGATGTCTGTTTTAGCTCTTTTCACCTTTGGAATATGTGTTCTTCGAAGTGTCAGTTGCAACCCATTAGTTAGTAGTGAAATCAGATTAATGGGTGATGTGAAGGATTTTTTTAATCAAATGAAACAGTATAATAAAAGAAAGTTTTATCAGAATTAACAAAATGTAGTATTGGGCTTCCCTGATAGCTCAGTTGGTAAAGAATCCACCTGCAATGCAGGAGACCCCAGTTTGATTCCTGGGTCGGGAAGATCCACTGGAGAAGGGACAGGCTACCCACACCAGTATTCTTGGGCTTCCGTGGTGGCTCAGCTGGGAAAGAATCAGTCTACAATGAGGGAGACCTGGGTTCTATCCCTGGGTTGGGAAGATCACCTGGAGAAAGGAAAGGCTACCCTCTCCAGTATTCTGGCCTGGAAAATTGAATGGACTATATAGTCCATGGTGTCGCAAAGAGTCAGACACGACTGAGTGGCTTTCACTTTCACTTTCAGTAAATATATATGGGGCTTCCCTGGTGTCTCAGATGGTAAAGAATCTGCCTGCAATGCAAGAGACCTGGGTTCAATCCCTGGGTTGGGAAGATCTCCTGGAGAAGGAAATGGCTACCCAATCCAGTATTCTTGCCTGGAAAATCCCATGGACAGAGGAACCTGCTCAGCTGCAGTCCATGGGGTCGCAGAGAGTTGGACACAACTGAGCGACTAATACACATATACACACACACACACAGTAAACATACATATCTATGGTAAATTTTTTCTTTTTTTAGTTTTAAGTGTATCTATGTATTAACGCATTATACATTTGTTGTATGGGTCTTGGTGTAAAATATATTTCCTATATATTTATATATTATATATTTTATTTATATATATTTTATATATTTCCTATAATTCCTAAAATATATTTCCAGGTGTCAGCCAAAAATTATAAAACCATGGTTGTAGGGACATTACTGATTTTCAATAAATACTTGTTAAATCAATCAAAAAAGGAAAAGAAAAGGTCTTGATCACTTCCCTTTTCCTCAATCTATTTCCTTGGCTTCTGTGATGTGCTCTTCCATCTCTCATCATCATCATTCCACTGTGTCTACCTGTCCCACATAAATGAACAAACAGACTCTCCCTTGTGCACTAATTTGGTTACTCTGCACTTTGAGTTATCACCTTCACCTTTAAAAAACCTCCATGCTAACATTTTCCACTTTTAAAATCTTCTCCTTTCAGTAGAAGGACTTTATATTCACCCCACCACTGGAACTGGTCATCTGGATATGTCACAATTACTTTAAGTCCATTTTTTAAACACCATTCTCATTATTTCTGAGCCCTGTATTCAACCCCAAGCCTGTTTCATATTCTCTCTACAGAGGCTCCAAGCTAGAAAATTTGAAGTCATCTTTGAGTCTTTTAATCTCCTGAATATTTGCTAAATCCAGCCTGCCCATCTATGCCTCTACCACAGCACAGGCTCTGTATCACTATACTAATTCAATGATGTCTTAACTAGACTTCCTATTTCTAGTCTACTCAAATATACCTTACACAGACATTACGGAGGTTAATTAAAACTAAGCTAACTATGCATGTTCTCTGTTTACCAGTCTTTAAAAGCACTCTATCACTTACACTTTTCTAAATTATGGGTCTCTTGGAGAACATTTTGGGTTTCCCTGGTGGCAAGCAGCATGTCTACTTTCTTCTCTACCATTCCCTCCTTCAGGGGATCTTTCCAACCCAGGGACTGAACCCGGGTCTCCTGTATTGCAGGTGGATTCTTTACTGTCTGAACCGCTGCCACCACCAACAGCGTGCATGCCTAGTCATGTCCATGGGGTTGCAAAGAGTCAGACACGACTAAGCATGCACATTGTTGTTGTTGGTGGTGGCTCAGACATTAAAGAATCCACCTACAATATGGGAGACATGGGTTCAATTCCTGGGTTGGGAAGATCCCCTGAAGGAGGGAATGGTGGAGAACATTTTGGAGAAGAAAGCAGACTGTTGCCTGTCTACAGCTGGAAGAGCTGGAGAGTTCACGGAGAGTGGCTGAATATGGCTATATTGGTTTCTTCTGGGGGGTGATGAAAATAAAACTGATTGTGTGTGCTGTGCTAAGTTGCTTCAGTCATGTCCGACTCTGTGTGACCCTATGGACTGTAGCCTTCCAGACTCCTCTGTCTGTAGTATTCTCTAGGCAAGAGTACTAAAGTGGGTTGCCATGCCCTTCTCCAGGGGATCTTCCCAGCTCAGGGATCGAACCCACAGCTCCTGCACTTCCTGCATTGCAGGTGGATCCTTTATCACTGGGCTACCAGGGAAGCCCTAAAACTGAGTATGGTGACAGTTAAAAACATCTAAAAATATACTACACTTAATTCTACTCGTTAAATGGTGAACTGTATAATTCATCAAGTATATTTCAATTGGCTGTTGTATTAAAAGAAGTTGATGAGATGTGATAAAAGTTACGGGTTCCACAGAAAAAGGACATCCCTATGACCCACTAGAAATTATAAATAAAATAGAAAATTACAAACTGAAAAGGAATTACAGTTTAATCCAAACTAAATTTTGGTCTCAAAATACCTGCTTATAGGATGTCAGTACAGAAGCCATTTTGAGGTCATAATGAAACATGTAATGGTCTCTAAAGATCAAAATTTTAAAGAGAAGAAAACTAAGATTTAGTTCTGATTTCTCTTAACTTACTAATCAGGAATTTTAACCAGTGCTGTAGATACCCTGAAACATAGTTTAATACCTGAGATGAACATACAAGATAACTCATACATGCTTTAAAAATGATTAGGTAACATCAGATAACTGCACGTTACATAATTTTAAATCTTCCAGAGATAAAATATAACTTATTTGATGAATAACATTTCAATTAAATTTTATGGCCACAAAAAGTAATGCATATTAGTCACTAATTGGTAATTATTATTGCCTAAGAAATAACTTATATCATATTATATAAAAGCCTATTTAATAAAACAGATCAGTTACCAATATGCTGTTTTAACATCGACCGAAATACTATACCTTGTAGTTCCCAGACTTTCAAAGGCATCATTTCTTTATTACTCTCAATCAGGTATTTTTGGAATGTTGTCAGATTATCTCTAAGATTTGAATATCTTTCTCTGTATTAGAATATTAAGTAATGTTAATTATTATCACGTATTATAAACTACTATTATACAAGTATACATACTATACATATTATACAAATATATATATAAGTATACTATTATACTATTATATATACAAATATATAATATACTATTATATATTTTTGAAATTACCTCTTCCTAATACTTAAGACACAAACTAACGGTTCAAGATAATAATAATGATACAGCTATAGTGCTAGATAGCATATTAAAAAGCAGAGACATTACTTTGCCAACAGAGGTCCCTCTAGTCAAGGCTATGGTTTCTCCAGTGGTCATGTAGGGATGTGAGAGTTGGACTGTGAAGAAAGCTGAGCGCTGAAGAATTGATGCTTTTGAATTGTGGTGTTGGAGAAGACTCTTGAGAGTCCCTTGGACTGCAAGGAGATCCAACCAGTCCATCCTAAAGGAGATCAGTCCTGGGTGTTCATTGGAAGGACTGATGCTGAAGCTGAAACTCCAATACTTTGGCCACCT